CCATGCCCTGTGACTCTGGCTTGCCTCTTTTTTGGCACGCAAGTGGGTACACGGTTTTGGCACAGCTACTGATCCTGCTGCTCCTGCACCACCCCGGTGGCTGTTGTTGTTGCTGCTGCTGCCAAAAGTCGCTTGTTAAACAGCGGAAACGGAAACGCCAACAGTCGCACAAAGCACAAAGGGAGCCCAAGCACACAGGCGACTTTTGGCAACAAGACGCCCACCGGCATCGGCATCGTCATCGGCAACGGCATTCGCATCCATCCATCCAACGTTTTGGAAAAGTGTAAATCAAACTAATTGAATGTTTTTCGCCGAGCCAACAGGCGGTGCCAAAGATATATAACTGCGACACGCCCCCTTTAACAGGCAAAGATACTGATTCTTTCAACAAAAAAAATATAAAAAAAGTTCGCGCGATGATAAGAAATTCAATTTCGTTCGATGCACACGCTTCTGGTTGAGTGGTGCGCGCTCCTTTGACAATTTGATTTGGCAAATATCGCGCATACGCAGTGTTGCACCGGCCCAACTAATCAAAGGCCCATTGAGCCAAAGCCGGTAGTCACTATTCATTAGCTCCTCGTTGCTAAGAAAGCAAGCTATATTCAAAAAACCATTGAAACCATTGTGCACACTGTTAATTAAGTCTTAAGAATAACCTTTCCCAAAACCGCTACTTAAAACAAAGTTACTTTTTAATTGTACACTTGAATAAGCCCAAGAGATTAAATGCAATTATTACGGCGCTTGAATAAACTTCTTAGCCAGTTTCCCCCCCAAAGCATTCAACTATCTAGTATCGCACATACGCCCCGCAGACAGGGTCAACTAGTGAAAGCCAACCATTAGAGCGAAGTGCCTAGGATCAGTGCTCATTCCGCTAATAGTCGCTATTCATTAACCGGCAAACCCTCGAATCAATTTGCACTGGACCCTTTAAGTGAGCTGCATGTAGCTTGCCCCAGTTTGGCCCACCTCAAACTAACCTGCATTTGTCTGCGGCTGCAAATTGCCGTTAACTTAATGAGCATTTTGGCCATAAAATCACTTGGCGCGGCTCTATTGCCACGACGCTGGCAGCCGGCACAATTTATTTGACTGTTAATTAGAAATTTAAATTATGCGCTTAGCCTTTGCCCGCGAAGGGGCACTGCCTCCTCCTGCTCCCTTTTCCCTCGATATCCGCGCAACTGGAGACCCCACCGATTACTCTCCGTTCGCCATTCAATTGGCGCTGCACAAAATTAATTGCAGGCAACGGCAACGGCGGGCAACCAGCGCCTTGGAGCATCATTTGCGCCCTGGCAAATTCGAAATAATTTATAATTTGGCACAATTACGCTCAGCCACAGGCCCACCGCGTCCTTCGACGGCTGCAGCCTGCCGCAGGACGAGGGCCATGAACTGGCCTGATCCGCTCCCGGGCTTCTAGTTCGGTTAGGATTGGCTTTTTGGGCTGGGGCTCGGGTTTGGGGCGCCGGGGCTATATGGGTCATTTGCCATGCAATTGCATTCTATTGATTTTCCTGGTTTCTCCGGCTGCCCGGCTGCCCGGCTCGCCAACTGGCTGCTGGTGGAGATGTAATAAACTTTCACTTGTTTTGTCGCCGTCGCCTCGAAGCGGGAAAGCGGAAATCAGCGGGCGCCGCGGGGAAGTTGTGGACAGTGGTAAACACATTGCTCATAGCCAAAACATTTGGCACACTGCCCCGGCCAGACAACCGGGATGCACAGTCAGCGAAAATGGGGTATACCAACCAAACGATGAGTACCATTAAATTGGAATTCATTCTAGACAATTAAACCTCAAGTGGCTACCAAAATGTGGTCAATAAAGCCAGGAATGTGGAATTTTTTTATCAGTATATATTGATCAGTATATGTTGAAACAGAAATACAAAATTAAATGCTCTACTGTGTGTAATCGCTTTAGCTATAGCATATTTAAAAGATCTTAATGGCCAAACATAGACCCTTTTACATTAAATGCACTTGCGACTTCCAAGCATTACAGGGTCACCATCTTTGGCCCTAAGCTTAAAATAATAAAGTACCTCATAAATCATTAAATATATTTGACTTCAAGGTATCGAGAAACGGAAATGATTTCAACCATTTTGCCTTTACAGTTCTTCCTTTAAAAACTCTAATGTTTGGACTTTACTAAGCTGAAGCTTAAATGACCATCAACTTTCGGATTGCCGGATTAAAGCAAAATAAATCTTCCATTTTTTTCTCTGTGCAGCACCAGCAGCTCTAGCTAGGATTGTCAAGTGGTTTTTGGCTTGGTCCCGAGATTTGGCTACGCTTTTGTGATTTCTTTTCTGCTGGTCCATTGTTTGCCCAGAAATTGGGTCAATAGCCTTTTGGGGGAGGTGTCCTGCCCGCAGCAACTGATGCTCCCGCTTTTGCTTTTCCTGCTGATGATGATGATAATGATGGGGGGGGATGATGAGGCCGACGGGGATGCTGATGATGATGGCGCTGGAGATGGCTAGCTCGGTGATGAGCAGCGAGCCTGGGCCAGACTTGCAGCCATTGTTTCAACTTCTGTGCATGTAATTTCCTCCTGCAGCATGTGCTGCTTGCAGCAAGTGTGTTGTTGGCTTTTCACTTTTGTTGCTGCCACACTGATTACTGCTGCTTGTTAGTGCGTTTGACTGTGCGGTTTTTATGCTCGTTTACATGCATGTATTTGTATACCAAAGTCCTTGCCAAGCACTAAGCACCCAACGCCCAGAGCCACCACCCACCACCCACCAAACCCCCATTCACTTTTGCCAAAATACACATTTTAGCTTAATTTGCAACTTGTTAGCTGGCTGCAAAACAATCTCCCGTCGGTCTCGCCAAAAACTCATGTGTAAACAAATCAAACTTGAAACTAAAGCTTAGCCCCGAACATTTCGCAATAATGAGCAATGCTCGGGGGCCAAAAGAAAACTTGTTCTTGGTCCCGAGCACCAGGGCAACAAGTGCGACAGAAGATAGAGCCAACTTTGTTAAATCAGCTTTAAGCTGCTGCAGCTATTTGTAGCCCACGCTGTTCGCTGCCAAGCTATGCTGATGTTTGCCAAGTTCCTTTTCGTTGCGAAGAAACAAAGGTCCATTTCATGCCACCCCAACCCATCCGCATGAACCACTTGACTCGATTCCGGATTTAGCAGAAGAGCGTTGTTTAAAATGCGTAACCATATCCCTGCCATGAATTTATGCAGTCAACTGTGTAAAAGGCGTAAAATGTCCAAAGACCATCAGTGACATCGTGGGTTGTGCCTTGGCTTGGCGGGGCATTTTGTTTTGGTTGGAGAAAACCGCCGGAAGGACTACTTCTCCAGTCGCATCCAACCGGCGGCCTCTCATTTATTTCATGCTCCATTGCACTGCGATATGTGTCAGGAACCGTGCAATCAGGCACTCGGAAAAAAAATGATAAGATGTCCAAGACCAACTTAAGTCGCGTAAATAAATAAATAAATGGAATTTGAAAGCCAAGACCATTCAGTGAGGCACGCTGGCTGGAGGCAAAAACTCGTGGTGCTGGGATATCAAAGGGGAAACTATTAATTTTATAAAAAAAACACAGGAATACATTTGTTTCCTGTGCACTAGGAATAACAAGAGTCTGGCATCTACGTAAGCCAGTGTCTTTAAGACAGCGTTTTTCCGAATCCATCCGGGACTTGTTTGGCCAGCTCACTACTCGCACTCGTTGTTTTTATTCAATTACCAATTCGAATTCGAATGCTGTCATAGCCTCACTCCAGTTCATCGCAAGCAGCTGCAGCCGTTTGTCTTGCCAATTGGCCGAAGCCATCAACAAACCGAACCCAAGCGGAGCATTATTGTAATTCAGGCAGCTACCAACCAACCACTCGCGCTCGATTTTAAATTGTTTGGAAGCAATAAAAAGTTTATCAAGTGTAAAGCGAAAAACAGCGCACGAAGCCCTTGACTTTCGGCACTCGGTGTTAATTGTTTGAGCTTTAAGTTGGGGAAACGGTGCCACATTTCAAGGACCCGGCCAAGTAAAGGGCTTTATTCAAGGCAAAAGTAATACAAAACAATGGGCTCGAAAACCAGCCGCACAATCACTAGCACAAAAGCGGAGAGAGAAGGACGCACAGCAAATAAATCAATTGGCTTTGCCTAAAACGTTTGAAATTGATTTCAAGTTCTTTGGCCCATTGTTTTTATATGCAACAAAGGGACAATTTTTCATTTCCAACGACAACAATAAAAGCAACACAAGGTCCTTTTCATGGTGGCACATGGACGTAGACACATACACACACACACTGGGATAGACACACACATGCGGTCGATCCCTGGGCATGTAAATTGGCCGCATTGTTTATGAGCTCTGCTATCCTGCGTGTCCTCCAGCCTCGTCCTTCGAGGGACTATTGATTGTCAATTCAGTTTAAGCGCTGCCCATAAATTCAGTAAATGAGCAACGGTCCAGCCGAAGCTGCTGCCATTTTTCTTAATTTGCTGAAATGCACAAAAACAATTTTCCATTTCCACGAAAGACGCCCACTTCGCGAATTCGAATTCTGATAGTTTGCTATTATCCTTAACTTTTGTTTAGCTTTTTTTCCCTTCTTTTCATTTATCGAACACACTTTAACATTTTCCTTTAGATAGTCTCGAAAATATGGTCACTTGATTTGAAAACATTTTTCAAGCTTAAAGATACGGTACTAGCACTTATCCTTTTTAAGCCCACATTCGGAGAGCCAAAAGGATATCGGGCTGCACTTCAAATGTTTGTGTGCCCTACCTTTGTTTGGTCATTAGACCTGACACATTGTCAACACGCAACAACTGCCAACAACTGACAGCCGTCAACTGTTTATGTTTGCCATTTAGCAGGCAAAACATTTTGATTACGCATACGCCATGTGGATCGAAGCGACGTTTGTTGCTTTGACAGGCGCCTCGAATTCCATTCGCCCATAAATAAAAGTCATCTGCTGGTCATCAGTCGATTGGAGATGCATTCGCTGCTTGTTTGTGTTTCAGCGCTTTGGTTTTGTCAGTTTTGCGAAGCGGCGATTGGAAGTCAACTCTGCAAGGATTGTCGGATGAATGTGATATATCCTGATGGGGGTAAAGGCAACCAGCACTTGTCAGAAAACCGTCAAATAGTTCGAATCATCAACAAATACAAGCGAATCAGAAGACAGGAGCTGGAATATCGAGATGAGATCGGGCTGCGTAGCTTGCAGTCAAAAAAGTTCAACTTTATAGCGAAGGTAAAGGTGGGAAATGCGGTACGATGCAGTGCAGCCTTGGTGGCTCCAAGTTTGGCGATCACCTCCAGTAATTGCTTTATAAATGACTCCTCTAAGCCGCTGCAAATTATCTTCACCGGCGGAAGAAGTTTCGCTGTGGATAATGTAGTGAAACCGGATTTCTGTCCTGAACTTAGCGTGCTCCATTTGACAAGACCCTCTGAAATAAATCCAATTGCCCTTTGCCATTATGACCTACCTTTGGGCACAAAGGTATCAATGATGATGGCCAGTCCGGATCTCATCTATTACGGCCGTCGGAGAACTGAAATAATCTCAAATCGCGCCTGCAAGACAACATTCCTAGAAGAGGATTCCGTTTTCATAACTTCCAGTATGCTGTGTGCAAGAAACTCTAAAAATCCGGAAAAGTGTGCCACTTCTCCTGGTGATGCCTTACTTATAGACCATCAATTATGTGGCTTAAACATTTATGGATTTCGTTGTTTTCAAAATGCAGTCAATGGCGATCTCTACTTAAGCCTAAGCAAACTGCAGCCCATGATCGGCGATTTGATCCGGCAACTTAATGGTTAAAGTGTGGAATTTAAATAAGTTGCGGGGAAAGGAAGCTAATTGTTGTGATGTGGAACTGAATCAGTTGAAAAGTTATTATGCAGCTAAGTCAACTGATTGTAATACTAGCTGTCTCCCATGGATCAGTTTCTGAATTTTCTGAGGTGGCGCCACAGGTTAATCTAGGTGAAATACCGCACAATGGACAGCCCTATCAGATAGTGCGCGTTATTGAGTATATAGTGCCTTACCCCTACCAGAGATTTCCGAAAATATCCGCTAGAACTTCGAGCATGAGAAACAAGGAACCCAATAGCCTGGAAATAATTCCCGCTGAAATCGAGACCATTCTTACCGATGGACAAGCCACAACAGAGGCACCAAAGGCAGTGAAGCATTTCCTTATGCGAATCCTTTATGAAAACAAAGTCATTTGCAGTGGTGCCCTAATTTCCAGTCGTCTGGTCTTAACCTCTGCCCACTGTTTTCCCAGGAATCTCAGTCCACCTCCAGCTCGCTTGTACAAACTGCAGGCCAGTCGGAGTCGGATATATTCGGTGGCCAATCTAATTACCGGCACTATTGAAGACATGGCCCTATTGCTGCTCAACACTCCACTGGAGGATCCCTTCGTCCAACCGATTGATCTCTGTGACTCTCCTCTCCAAAGGAATGACAATGTAACCATGTACATGTCACAGCAACATCTGCGTTTCCTGCGCACCAAACTCATTCCCAATAGGAATTGCAAAAGGAGCTATGCCCAGGACGAGAACGCCTTCATCACGCAGACCATGTTGTGCGCCCTGAATTCGAACCGATTGGTAGATTGCCAGACGACCAAGGGGGATGTCCTCCTCCACCAGGATCGGGTGTGCGGAGTGGACATTTACGGACAGCACTGCTCCGATGGGGGTGTCAATGGAGAGTTGTATGCCGACGTCTTTAAGGCCAGGCCTCAACTGATGCGCTTGATTGGGCGCTATTCGAACTAAATGATTCCACTGGGAAATTTCATAAAATAAAATTTCCTATACATAGTTAGTTTCCAATGTTTTTTGGCTAAAAATGTTTAAATCAAATCCTAAAGTAGAGACTGCACATACATTTGTTGTCGCTGTGCCATGCTCGTGTGCTGCCCAAATCAAATCAATCTCACTAAACAAACACTGAAAACAAAAGGGCGAAAGTGGGGTGGAACGAAAAAAATCGCAAATAAAATCAGGGGATGCCGCCTTCTGTTGGTCGCGGCTAAAATTGAAAGTCGTCACCAACAAAATCAGAGGAACACAAAGAGCACAAGCTGGCGATGTTTTTTTAACATTTTATTTTCTTTCAATTTGCGGCTTAAAAAAGTTAACTGTTCCCATCAAAATGCCCTGAACTGCAATGACTATGATGTATGTAAATTTGAGCGAAAAAACAAATGGCAAAAAAGGGAAAATTGTGAAAAAAGTACACAATAAGAGACACAAGCACCACCCATACCCTCTAAAATCATCATGACAGGAAAAAGGTGTTACACTTGGCTTGAAATTTACACCCTCGGTGGGCGGGGCAACATAGGGGCTTCTGTGGCAAAAAAGGGGACGAGATGGAGTACTGGAAAAAAAAAACCGAAGCTTCGCCGGCGGCTATGGATACGTCGCTAGCTTTTGGCTTTGGCTTTGCGCTAAAATATGCAATTTTGTCATGAAATATGCACATGTCCACCGCGCGGCAAGGACGAACCGCCATGCCACCCACCGCCACCCACATACAGCAGCACTATCAGCGACGGCAACAAAATAAATTTAAAAGGCAACATACATAAATAAATTAAGCATTTAAAAACCCAACGAGAATAATGAAAGCCATAAAAGGCATAGACAGTGCGAATCTGGAAGTGCTCTTCACGAGGATTAAGCTAATTATAAAAAAATCGTAATGTGAGGTGAAAAATGAAGGGCTGCTAAAGAAAAACATTCCAATCCGAATTTTTAGATAATTATTACAGCCCTTTTATTTAAACTAAAATAGTAATGTTATGTATATAACGTAAGATAGTGGCCAATTAAAAACTACCAAATCAGCAAAATTAAAAGCGTATCAAGAGTATCTGTGTGGTCTACAGAAAAGTTGCCCATAACTTTTCCACCAGCCACGCCCACCATTTGACATTTAAATGCAACGAAGCCTGTCGAAAATGTTGCCGCCAACATCATCGCGAACAACTAAATTTATGTACATAGAAATTAATATTAAAGAAAAAACGAACAGCGTGTTTTCATATAAAATACAGGATGCCAGAGTGGGTGATGGTATTAGTGCAACACGGGATAATATTGAAACAGAAAACAACAAATGGCATGAAAAAACTTCAACACTAGTGTGATAATAAAAACAATAAAACAAATATATATTTCATTTGACTAAAAAATTGTTTCCCCATGGCAATTCGCGAGGCTTTGGCAACACCCCAAAACCACTTGAACCACTTTAGCCACTTTGGCCACCCACTTTTCCACCCCCGCTTTTCAGTGACCCGCTGACCTACCGCAAATATTTATTGTTTGACAATTTTTATTGCCTACTTTCAGGCGATTGTCGCTAGCTCAAAAGCGGAAGTGAGCTGAAGGAGGGTGAAACTTTTCTGAAAAAAATTCAAAAGGCGTTAAAATGATTTTCAGAAACTTTTGCCTTACGTGACTTTGTCCCCAGCATCGGTCCAGCCTACATATTGTTCAATTTCCGACCGGGCCGCACTGACTGAATCAAAATAGGTGGCATAAACAGCAGCCACGGCAGCGGCAACAAAAGTGTTCGGAGACCCTGCGCTGGGTATAAAATAAAAGTTTTCCACTTAAGGTTTATGAAAAGTTTAAGCCCGGCCGCCGCCCGAAGGGCCACCATCATCCAGCAAACACATTCACACTTACCTCAGGCCGGCAAATGCGGAAACGGAAACTACGGTCGAAAAATGATGAATACCCAGTGAGAAGGACTCGGTCCCCGTCGAACCCCGGCCAATACAACACAAAAACACACTCCAGAGGGAAGCTGGCAATGACTATAATATCCTTGGACCCGCTCGAAGATTTTTCGCAATAAGGAAGCGGTGCCCAATGGCCTTCCACCTTTTACTTCTCGACCATAACCACTTAGGAGCCTTCGAGTTTTCCCCGAGAAAACTCCCCAAATGCAAATAATAATGTAATTGCCGGCAATCTTTTGCTCAAGTCTGTTTACCTTTCGCTTCGCCGTTGTTAAACTTTTATGAGATTTGAACAGAATTTTAAAGCATTTACACCTGGCCCACGCTTGACAAATGAGCAAATGAATTGAACCCGATTCCTCGGGTCTGAGTGCCAATTTAAAACCCCACCGGCTAATTGCAGGTCGGATCCACTAATTGAGTGCAAGTCAAGCAAATCGCCTAATTAGCGGAGGCCATCTAAGCGGACTACGATTGCCAGCAGAGTGGATGGGGGAGATCTAGAGAGGGCGTAAGTCCTACCGGTGAAAAGGATATGCAATTTGCACGGACAGGACACTTGATCTCAGTCAAAGCGCGGAATTGACAGGCTGGCCGCAGTATTCCGGTTTAATGCGTTATTAATTGGATGGTAAGCCGGAAGCGATGGAATGGGATTTCCCTCAATTTCCCCTCGGGCCTAGCTAAGTGAAAGTACACTGTAAACATGCAACTTTCAAACAGAATATATTTAGATACTGTAGTTCTACCCTAACAAAAAATATTTATTTATGATCTTAAGAGTGCACTTCCCAATTAACAATTCATAGTGTAATATATATAGTAGTTTGTAGTTTGGTAATGCTTTTAGTAGTTTTACAGAAGAGCTTGACTTAAAATGTCGACCACTGATAATAAAACCTTAAAAAATAATTCCAAGTGCACTCTTCTGAGTTGTCGTATATGTAAATGGCCGTGCATATTTTTCCGACTCCACTTACGGTCTAAGTGCTAGGCCGGAGTACATTTCGAGAATGTTTTCGGATGTCGCCGGCAAGACCACGTGCCGAGGTGGAACCACGTGCCTCCGGCTCCAACCACGTCGCCAGTTGACTTTTCATAGATTTAGGACTACATTTTTCTTGAAGCCACAGCGCCACTTTGCCGCTCAGCCGAACGCACCGCCAGGTTTTCAGGTTTTTTCCGGTGGGTGGATACGTGCCTCATCCACGTAGCTCCTCCACATTCACTACCACTGAAAGACAGCGGTCTTTCGTATGCCACATGTGTCGGGGGCATACACATTTACTTGAGCTGCGCATAATGAGCATTATTTATATTTAAGCTGCGGAGCAGACACAAACTGTAAATAAAACGTTTTAATTTATTAGGCATGTGATAATTTCCGAACTGGTTGGCATAGGAAATACCATAAAACAGCAGCGATAATTTCAAAAATGGATTTCCATACTTTGGAAGATGGAATGAGAACAGATTTAACCCCCAGGACAATCAATCAAATTAACCCAATGCCCAAGGCCAAGTGCCAAAATGCCGAAAATTGATTTCTTGGCCTTTAGGCAAGGTCAGCTTTTGACGTAGCCAGGTGATCAAATTGAATCACTCTGTGTGGGCAATGAAATATAATTCAGCTTAGTAAAAAACTAATTGGGCGTGAAGAAGTTTGGTCACCTAAGGCGGTGTATTTTCTACGATTAAATCGTAGAAAATAATATACAAAATATTGTATCATCCGAAATATAACAATTCACAATAAAACTAATAACAAAATTGAATAATTGTAAAGAATATATTCTTTTAAGATTTTATGAAATATTTCTTATTGTAGATCTCAGCACCTGTGGGCCGAAGGAACAATTTAACTTGCCTTAGCTATTGAACTTATTACTGCATCGCCATTAGTTCCAATAAGACCCAGCCAGCTTCTCCGATTGCCCCCAAAGCTTATTATGATAATTGGAAATTATATGTAAAAATGATGACTTAGCGGGCAAGGGCCTCGGGACAATCATCCGAGCCAAACTAGCAGTAATGCCGCATTAATCTGATTATTAATGGCGCATAAAAGAATGATATAGCGATGGCGGGAGACGGCGAACAGAACGTAATTGAATACTAATGCAATCAATTAAAGTTAAACTCCGGGCACACGTGCAAAGGACGGCAGAAGTCGGCAGATAAGTCCTGGAGAGTCTTCGGGAAATGGCGGAAATGGAGATGCGACTGACTGATGTGGAAGTGCAGTGGCGGCTGGTCCGATGATGAAGGTCCCAGATCTGATGAGTTCAATCAAGTTGTAAACATGATTCCACATTCTATTAATGCGCCGCCAGTCTCAGTAACTCAATACACAATCAACGGCGTTTTAGAGTTCATTTGCGTGGTATGAAAAGGGAAATCAAATCATAAAAAAAATAATATGTCGCTTTGTGGAGGCGGGGACGCAACAGGATGTGTGTCTGTGAGAGTCCTTCGAGGAAAAGGAATCAACATCGACAAGTCCTTACCTTTGGCATGCCTGCGTAGACGGTGGAATCCTCCAGCTCCTCTGTTCAACTTCAAATTGATGCAATTTATGAAAACTTTTGTGCGCTCAATTGCAAATACAAGTGTACAAGTGTACAATCTCTGTCATTTTTATGCACTTCCCCTAGTTATGCCAAAGCAATTCCTCTCTTTTGGCAAGTTTGCTTTCGTTTTCGCCCGAGTTCCAATCTTGATTTCCCAGCGTTTTTTCTTTTATACATTTCTGTACTTTTGTGCACTTGGCCCCCCGTCATTTTGTTCCCTTTTTCTGATTTTTTCTGCCATTCGTGCATTGTGCGGCAAATTAAGCCCATTGCAAGTGATTTGATTTGCTTTCATATAGAAAATACTTCAAATTCCCTCTGCCATAGCGGCAATCACTTTAAAGTTGCCAGCCAAGCAACGACTGTGAACGAAAAGTAATTTCCGACTAATGACTGTCATTTGTATCTGGAAACGAAATGAAATGTGCTCCACTCCTGACGGCGTTTATTTATTTTTATGGCAAGGGCACAGCGCGTG